AACATATAGTTGAGTTTATATGGTAGTTTCAGGAGATGTAGCTCTGCGTAAAGTGCTTTTGGGGTTCTGCAGGTGCCATTGCCTCTGTAACCTCCGAAAGGATTTTCATCTCCCCCCACTTGCTTTCTTTGGTCCTCTAGGAGCCTTCCTGTGGTGCGGAAAGGGGTCTGTCCGAGTGCCCTCTACATGGCCTGGCTTGAAACTGTCTCCAAGGGCCTGCATCCACCCATCGCCTTCATCCGGGGCAACCAGGAGGATGCTCTCACCTTCTACTGCCAGTAAAAGGCAGCACTACCTCCAGGAAGTACAGTGAAAGAAACTATGTGGACCCTCATTAGGTATGACAGCATAGCCTGGTGAGCTTCTGGGTTAGCCAGATGTTTGCCAGAGGCTGTTACATGGGAACATAATAAGCCAACAGACTGCCTTCAAGATACAGGAAAAGGGTCCATGTTACCAGGCCATTCTGCAGCAGTGTTAAATTTCTCCTACTTCATGTTCCGGGACTGAGATCTACAATGCTTATTTCTCCTATGTTTAAGGATGAGACTAACTGTAAATATTAAATTTAAATATTGTTATTTAACAATAGCGGTCTGACTCCTGCTTTAAACATTTCAGTCCTTCTCTCTTGTTGCCCCACAAGCCCACTACTTATCTTAGTATGGCTAATCCTCACTTAGAATCTCAAAAGTTGGAAGGGACTCGCAACCACATGCCATGCAAGAAGCCACAACAAAAGCACTTTTGAAAGACACCCATCCAACCTCTGCTGATCTCTGAAGATGGTGAGTCTACCACCTTTTGTGGCAGCCTATTCCACTGTTAAATAGCTCTTACAATAAAGTGGTTTTTCCTAACGCTTAGGTGGAACCTCTTTTCTTGTAATTTTAATCCATTGATTCACGTTCCATTCTTTGGAGCATCAGAAAACAAGATGGCTTCATTCCCCAAGACCTCTCTGCCAAAGCTGAATAAATCCCAAAATAAAATCAGGGTTGTGCAGTGTGAAAACAACCACAGCACTTACGATTAGAATCTGATGTAGAGATCACAGCTGGAAACAG